TAAATAGCAAAAGGCACAACTACTGTAATAGGTTGATGTGTGTGCAAAGTTTCAGAAAGATATCTTGAACAGTTTATAAGATATGCTTCGGAAACAAAATTGTACACCAAAAACTAAGTCATTTTTGTTTCCATGGAAACACAAAAAATATAAATCTCAGAAATTTCTAATGTGTGTGTACAAAGTTTCAGAAAGATATCTCGAATGGTTTATGAGATATGCTCCGGAAACAAAATTGTACACCAAAAACTAAGTCAAATTTGTTTCCATGGAATTACACAAAATATCGATCCCATAAATTCCTAAATAGCAAAAAGCACGAATACTGTAATGGGTAGATGTCTGTACAAAGTTTCAAAAAGATATCTTGAACGGTTTATGAGATAAGCTCCGGAAACAAAATTATACACCAAAAACTAAGTCAAATTTGTTTCCATGGAAACACAAAAAAATATAAATCCCAGAAATTCCTAAATAGCAAAAGGCACAACTACTGTAATAGGTTGATATGTGTGCAAAGTTTCAGAAAGATATCTTGAACGGTTTATGAGATATGCTCCGGAAACGAAATCAGACCGGACGGACGGACGAACCCCGTTTCAATATCCCTCCCTAACTTTGTTCGGCGCGGGATAACAAACACAAGGAAAGAAGTCTTATAGAACTATAGCATGCAGTTTGATTCTTTGTTTCAGATTGTTAGCTCTTGTCTAGAAAGTGTGAGTGAGCTGCAAAAACAGAATGTGATCTTCTCAGCCGTGATTGTATTTAATAAATATATTTTGCACATTACACTTCTCCAGTTTACATTTTCCATTACAGACAAATATATTTGGGACTCTGCAGAATAGAACACATACCTTATATGGAAACTATCAGAACCTCATATGCATACCGAAAAAAATTGTAGGCTAGGACAGGCATTAAACATACATTATTCAAGAGCTTAATCTGCCAATTGCAGGTCTTTCTTTAGGCCTGAAATTTTATCTAAATTATTAATTAGACATTAATTAACTTATCCAGACTATAATCAACTCTCGATGGCATCGCTAGCCTGCAATATTTACTGGATTAGAAACTGGTCTGCTGCTTCTGATTAAATCAAACCAGCGGCTGCCAGGCAGGATACGCCCACATTTTACAAGAGATGGATAGAGAACAAACTAAAAACAAAGATAGGTTGCCAGGCAACAAAACATACGCCCACAGCAGCTAAATCGTCCATGCAGTCAACAAGAGTTGTTGCATATTTTTACTTTTTTTGGTAATGAAACATTTATAATACACTAAAATCTGATTAAGAGCAACAACTCATAAAGTAATTATCAGAAAACCATTAGAATTTGTTTGGTTTTTATAAAGTTCTGCCTAATGCTAACGTTTTGTATACAAAACTTTTAATATCATGGATTTAGCTGTTCAAGACATAAAAATTCATTGAAAATCAATATACTTGTTCGTCTCAAGATCTTAAACTCTGTGTATCAATCTGAAGTCAATCGGATGATAACTTTAGCCTTTAGAGCGTCACAAAGTGATCAAGGGCCATAATATTAGCAGTAATTATCGGGAATCGTTGAAAATCAATAGGATTCTTCGTCTCATGACCTGAAACACTGTGTATAAATTTAAGGTCAATTGGATATTAACTTTGGCCTCTGGAGTGTCCACAAGATTTCTTGAAGTGATCATGGGCCATAACTCTGGAATTAATAATAAGAAATAGCTGAAAATAAATAGGCTTCGTCGTCTCATGACCTTAAACACTGTGTATAAATTTAAAGTCAATCAGATATTAACTTTAGCCTCTAGAGCGTCCAAAAGTAATTGTGGACACCGGACCGACGGAAGGACGGACGGACGGGGGCGACGACAATATACGACCACATTTTTTGTACAATCAAGGGCCATAATCCAGAAAGTTCTGGTCTGAAATGCGCAAATGTCAAAAGGGACTGAGATATGTTTTAAATTTCATCAAAATCTAGATGGTCCCTAACCTTTGTATTACATATTTAGTCACAATTTGCGTACAAATTTTGTCGGGCAGTTTCATATAATTTTTTCAAAATCCGAATTCAACCTTCATTATGGTGGAATGGTGATATATCTAAACAAGATCTTTGGGTTATAAACATGCATTTCAAGTTTCATCAAAATCGTATCAAGATTGTAACCTCTAGGAGGTCCACAACCTTGATATACCAGATGTTTACACTATTTGCTTACAAGGGGCATCCATTTTGTCCGACAGTTTTGGTCCAATTTTCACGAAATGCGAACTCAACCATCATTAGGGTGTAACGGTGATATACTAAAATGTTTTTTCAATCAGATAAAAATTGTAACCTCTAGTGGGACCACATGCAATAAGTGCGATTTTTTGTACAATCAGGGGCCATAATTCAAAAAGGTACGATCCGATATGCGCAAATATCGAAATGAACCAAGATCTTTGGGATTAAACATGCAGTCCGAGTTCAATCAAAATCGGATGGAAATTGTGACTTCTAGAGGGTCCACAACATTGATATACCATATTTTCAAACTATTTGAGTACAAGGGGCGGCCATTTTGGTCCAATTTTCACAAAATTTGAACTCAACCATCATCAGAGTTTACCGGTGAAATTCTAAAATGTTTTTTTAAATCTGATAACCAGCGGCTGCCAGGCAGGATATGCCCACATTTTGCAAGAGATGGATAGAGAACAAGCTAAACAAAAAGCGATTTTTCGTACAATCAGGAGCCATAATTAAGGAAGTTACGGTCTGATATATGAGAATATCAAAAGGAACTGAGATCTTTGGGTTATAAACTTACATTTCAAGTTTCATCCAAATCAGAAGAAAATAAATTGTGACCTCTAGAGAATCCACAACCTTGATATATCATATTTTTACGCGGGCTATACTATATACCGGAAAACACTGGGAAACAAGGGAAAACTACCGGAAAACACCATGTTATACTGAATACCGGAAAAACACTAAATACCGGAAAACACACTAAATACCGGAAAACATCCTAAATAGGTAACCCGGAGAAGGAATATACTATAAACCGGAAACTAACCCTAACCCTGACCCAGGCACACAGAGGACCAGGATCCGGGTTACCTATTTAGGGTGCCAGTCTCGGGGTTACCTATTTAGGGTATTTTCCGGTATTTAGGGCATATTCCGGTATTTTGTGTTTTTCTGGTGTTTTCCGGTATTCAGTATAACATGGTGCTTTCCGATGTTTTCCGGTATATAGTATTGTGGTTTTTACGCTATTTGAGTACGAGGGGGGGGGGGGCATTATGTCTGTCAGTTTTAGTCCGATTTTTACGAAATTCGAACTCAACCATCCTTAGGGTGTAACGGTGATATATTCAAATGTTTTGTTAAATCACATAAAAATTATGACCTCTATGGGGTCCACAAGCTAAAAACGTGATTTTTCGTACAATCAGGGGCCATAATTCAGGAAGTTATGGTCCGATATGCGCGAATATCGAAAGGAACCAAGATCTTTGGGTTATAAACTTACATTTCAAGTTTCATCAAAATCAGAAGAAAATTGTGACCTCTAGAGGGTCCACAACCTTGATATACCATATTTTTACGCTATTTGAAACGAGGGCCGGCCATTTTGTCTGTCAGCTTTGGTTTGATTTTCACAAAATTCCAACTCAACCTTCCTTAGGGTGTAACGATGATATACTAAAACGTTTTTTTAAATCAGATAAAATTTATGACCTCTATAGGGTGCACAAGCTAACAACGCGATTTTTCGTACAATCAGAGGCCATAACTCAGGAAGTTACGGTCCAATATGCGCGAATATCTGAAGGAACCAAGATCGTTGGGTTATAAACTTACATTTCAAGTTTCATCAAAATCAGAAGAAAATTGTGACCTCTAGAGGGTCCACAAGCTATTTTTACGCTATTTGAGAACGAGGGGCGGCCATTTTGTCTGTCAGTTTTGGTTAGATTTTCACGAAATTCCAACTGAACCTTCCTCAGGGTGTAACGATGATATACTAAAACAGGTTTTTAAATCAGATAAAAATTATGACCTCTATAGGGTCCACAAGCTAACAACGCGATTTTTCGTACAATCGGGGGCCATAATTCAGGAAGTTTCGATCTGATATGCGCAAATATCGAAAGGAACTGAGATCTTTGGGTTATAAACTTACATTTCAAGTTTCTACAAAATCGGATAAAAATTGTGACAACTATAGGGTCCACCGCCCTAAGTGCGATACTCTAGATCACTCCCAAGAGGGCGGTTTTCTGAATTATCCCACTAATTATCCTCAACAAGATTCAAGAGTCAAATTGAGGGGACATATAAATGCACACAGGATCCCCTCAGCTGACAAGACTAATAACTGCAATGGCAAGACATTGACCATTTGCAAAACAGTTTTCCGAAATATAACTTTTTATATAATTGAATGTAACATAATCAGATCATCTAATAACTGTGGATTGGACTTCTTTAATTCAGCAAGACGGTAACAAACATTAAACTACACTACATGTATAACAACCAATACATATTATAATATTGTAATCTTTACGGCCATCGTCTTAATTCACGTCTGCCTCCATGGTGAGGTATGAAGTTACATATTATTGATATTGAATAAAAAGAATTATGATGACAGCTGAATACTAATGAATAAATAAATTAAAGGTCGGCGGGTTCTCCGACATGACCATTTCAATATGGCAGTAGCTTATCTTAACAATAATCATATCCATGTTAGAAACAGCGGTTAGGTCAAAAGGACAGCAGAGACTTCACCCTTTGTTACATGAATTACTCTGTCAGTTTATCACAATAATGAAGTAGTATGCGGTGGTGGTGAATATTGGTTAGTATTAGGTAGTATTGGGTGTATGCTTGCTTTCCTGAATGCAATAACTATCTTATCTTAGCATTGATGTTCGAACTTAGGCAAGTTTGTCAACTTTGTCATATTTACATATAATAACATACCTGTCTCCTTTTTATTCGTTCTTTCAGTCTTTGTTCTATATCGCATTTGTCTTCCTCGTCAGCTTTAATAGCTATTTCTACCTTGTGCACAAAGTCCCCAGCTATGTTACCTTCAAATAAATAAAACGTAAAGTTTACAATAGTGTCTGGTGCATTGTTTTGCCAATCGGTTTGATTGAACATCAAGCTAAGGCCGACAAAAAAACAGCCGATTAAGATCATATAAAGATAGGTTTCCAGGCAACAAAACATACGCCCACAGCAGCTAAAACAACCGGGCAGTCAACAAGGGTTGGTGCATATTTTTACTTTTGTCGGTAATGAAAAATTTATAATACACTAAAATCTGATTTTAACATTGGCCTCTAGAACTTCCACAAGATTTTTCAAAGTGATCAAGGGCCATAACTCAGGCAGTAATTATCGGAAATCAGTGAAAATCCATGTGGGCGTATAAAAACAGATTGTTATAAAATAGAATGATATGCAAGTAAACGATTGACTGCATTTCTTATATATGTGCCAATTAGTACTGCAGGAATATTTTATACTAAAACACTAAAAAATCCAGGCACTAATGTGACAATGGGCCACAATGTACTGGAGGCCAATGTCTATTGGGTCACAATGCACTGGAGGCCAATGTCTATTGTGACAGTGGGCCACAAATTGCTTTCTTCTTCCAAATTATTTCATTCCCCCCTCCCCCCTCCCTTTCAAAAACCAGCGGCTGCCAGGCAGAATACGCCCACATTTTCGAGAGATGGATAGAGAACAAGCTAAAAAGAAAGTGATTTTTCCTACAATCAAGGGCCATAATTCAGGAAATTACAATTCAATATACGCAAATATTGAAAGGAACCGAAATCTTTGGGTTATAAACTTACATTTCAAGTTTCAACAAAATCAGATAAAAATTGTGACTTCTATAGGGTCCACAACCTTGATATACCATATTTTTACGCTATTTGAGAACGAGGGGCGGCCATTTTGCCTGTCAGTTTTGGGTCGATTTTCACAAAATTCGAACTCCGCCGTCCTTAGGGTGTAACGGTGATATAATAATACGTGATTTTCCGTACAATCAGGGGCCATAATTCAGGAAGTTACGGTCCGATATGCGCGAATATCGAAAGGAACGGAGATCTTTGGGTTATAAACTTACATTTCAAGTTTCAACAAAATCGGATAAAAATTGTGACCCCTATATAGAGTCCACAACCTTGAAATACCCAATTTTTACGCTATTTGAGAACGAAGGGCAGCCATTTTGTCTGTCAATTTTGGGCCGATTTTCACAAAATTCAAACTCAGTCGTCCTTAGGGTGTAACGGTGATACAATAATACGTTTTTTTAAATCGGATAAAAATTGTGACCTCTATAGGGTCCACAGGCCAAAAACGTGATTTTTCGTACAAACAGGGGCCATAATCCATGAAGTTTCGATCCGATACATGCCAATATCGGAAGCAGCCGAGATCTTTTGGAGATACACCTATATTTCAAGTTTCGTTAAAATCGGATAAGAATTGTGACCTGTAGAGTGTCCACAAACAAATTGTGGACGGACGGACGGACAGACGGACAGATGGACGGACAGGGGCAACGGCATAATACGTCCAGATGAAAATGTGGGCGTATAAAAAAAAACCAAAAACATTCTATGGCTTTATTAAAACTTTCAATTTCTTCCATTATTTAATGGTATGTGAACTAAAAAGTGGGCCAAAATAGTCTTATCTGTGTGGTTAGGTTCCCAGTTTTAAATCGAAACAGTGGGGAAGTAGGAAAGATAGGTTGCCAGGCAATGAAACATACACCTACAGCAGCTAAGTCGCCGAGCAGTCAACAACAGTTGTTGCATATTTTTTCTATTGTCAGTAATGAAACATTTATAATACACTAAAATCTGATTAAGAGGAACAACTCATTAAGTAATTATCAGAGAATCATTAGAATTTGTTTGGCTTTTAGTTCTGCCCCATGCCAATGTTTAGTATATGAAACATTTAATATTATGGATTTAGCTGTTTAAGTTATCAAAATTCATTGAAAATCAATATACTTATTCATCTCAAGACCATAAACTCTGTGTATCAATCTCAAGTCAATCAGATGATAACTTTGGTCTCTAGAGCTTCCACAAGATTTTTCAAAGTGATGATGGGACATAACTCTGGTAGTAGTTATCGGCAATCATTGAAAATCACTGAGCTTCTTTGTCTCACGACCTTAAACACTGTGTTTAAATTTAAAGACAATCAGATATTAACTTTAGCCTCTACAGCGTCCAAAAGATTTTTCAAAGTGATCAAGGGCCATAAAATTAATAGACTTCTTCGTCTCATGACCTTAAACACTATATAAATTTCAAGTCAATTGGATATTAAATTTAACCTCTAGAGCGCCCACAAGATTTTTCAAAGTGACCAAGGGCCATAACTCTGGCAGTAATAATTGGAAATCGCTGAAAATCAATAGGCTTCTTCATCTCATGATCTTAAACACTGTGTTTAAATCTAAAGTCAATCGGATATTAACTTTAATCTCTAGAGCCAGACGGGCAGGTGGACGGGGGCGACCAAGACCATATACGACCACATTTCAATGTGGGCGTATAAAAATAACTCAGCTTAAAACAAGCCAACAGTGAGGCCGAAGCCCCCGCCGAAATCCCAAAATAAATAAATGACACATATTCATTTATTGCACATACATTTTTTTCAAAAGTATTAAGCAATCGAATAGATTATCACCTATATACACTAAGTTTCATCATTCTCTAACAGATAGAATCAAAGCTATCTTGTCCCAAAGCATCAACCAATGAAATTGCTTAGCTCTGCTTAGCTTTAGCTCGAAATAATAATCATTGAACTCAGTCAAGACATTCACTTAATGAACATCTACATCAAGTTTAAACATTCTACCTCAACTAAAAACAGAGTCGTTATGTTCCAAAGTCTTGACCAATCAAATTGCTTATCGCTCCTTAGCCTAAGCAGGAAATTCTCATCATCAGACCTAGTTAAGGTAATGATATAATGAATCTATACTCAGAGTTTCATCACTCTCAACTTATTAAAACCAAAGCATCAACCAATCAGATCGTTTATCTCTTCTTACCTTCAGACAGACAAACCCATTTTAATAGTCCCCACCTTTCTTCGAAAGGCGTGGGACAATGAGAACTAAAAACAGCCACAAAACTTTCCAGAATCATATGCTGGTACAGCACTTTGCCAATCAAACATTATTTATGGACGAGGTAAGTCACATGATGATTTCATAATCTGTATTAAAGTTGTAAATGAGGTTTCAAGTGAAACATTCCAATATATATTGATGCAACAATCGGGATAATGCCCTCAAACATTAAACACACAGAGCATACATGTTTTAGAAATATATATTGACATAATGTTGTTTGAAAATTATAGAAAACAGTTAAAAGTTCTAGACAGAGTAAAGAATAATAATGATAAATAAATACTAACATAAACGGACTCTGTGTAAATTTTCACGATAGAATGCCTGAAAATATAAGATGGTAACAATATAATTATTATAGTTAGTTTACAGATATAAAACACAAATTTATATTGAAAACAATCACTCGGTTTATTTCACACTACGTTTCAACAAGTTCCTCTTGTCATTCTCAAGATGGCATTCATATGTATTTGGTTTTGACAGATTGGTTATTAGTCTTCTAGATCCAGTTGACCAAACTTGGAAATTTGTTGGATTTTTATGTCTTTAATAGATAAGATATTACTTAGTAGAATTTTCTTGTAATGCCAACCTGTGACAAATATCATTTTAACAACACCCTATCCTAGATTGTAACAAAATCTATACAAAATACTGCCCTTCCAAAAGTCTTAAAGATACTATTAATATTACCTGTTGAGATATTTCATCGTAAGCTACAATCATGACATGACACAGGTGTCTCCTCTTTAAGATTCTGAAATATTCATTTATTTCATCTATCATACATCTGGCTACAAGATGAACAGGGTATTCCAGATTACCAATACCGAGTACAGGGAAAGCAATACTGGTCATTTGAAGACGATTTGCCTGTTCAAGACAATTCCTTAAAACATCTCTCAACTTCTGGAATTCAAATACAGATCATTAGCATACTCTTGTAGTAAAAAATTTTTTTTATAATATTAGGGCTTTCTTCAGATGAAAAGTCTGTACATTAACCACTCCCCATCCCCCCAAAAAAGCCACAAAAACACCCACAAGTGATTTTTTTGGGAAGAGTGACTTTAATATTTTAAAGTGCATGGTTTTGAAACCATTTTGTTTACTAAGGTAATATGCTCTGTCAATCTCTACTATGACTTCCATGGTTTCACAACAGGTATACGCTCTCCATGTGTTCTGACTGAAATATCAAAATCAACTTCCAATACTTATGTTCTTGTTTCTAAAATAGGTCACATTACATGCAAATTACATAAAGCAGAAGATGACTTGATGACTGCTGGTTTTGTAATAAACATTAGATTTTTGTAAGATATTGTCACAAGATAGCTTGCCAGGCAGCAGAGTTGTTCATTGTGAATCTTTAGATAAATAAAGCGCCAAGTCAATAGGATTCTTCTTCTCTCAAACATAAACAAAGGTTATCGATGATCATTTGCAAGTCGGATGATAACTAGGGCCTAGTGCATTAACGAAGTACTTCTAAGTTATCAAATCATAAAATTATAGAAATGACAAAGATAGGTTGCCAGGCAATGAAACATATGCCCACAAAGGCTAAGTCGTTCAAGCAGTCAACAAGGGTTGTCGCATCTCATCTTTTGTCAGTAATAAAAACATTTACAACACACTAAAATCTGATTACAACAACCCATTAAGTAATTATCAGAAATCATTAGAATTTGTTTTTAATGTCTGCCTCATGACCTTAAACCTAGGGCCATATATCTCTTGCAGTAATTAGCAGGAATCTACAGGCTTCTTCGTCTCATAACCTTAAACACTGTGTATAAATTTAAAGCCAATCGGGTATTAACTATAGAGAGAGAGAGAGAGATTTTTCAAAGTGATCAAGGGCCATAACTATCGGGCAGTAATAGGTTTCATCGTCTCATGACCTTAAACATGGTGTATAAATTTAATATCGGATATTAGCTTCAGCCTCTAGAGTATCCGCAAGATTTTTCAAAGTAATCACGGGCCATAACTCTGGCAGTAATTATGAGAAATTTCAAGTTTCATAAAAAGTGGATAAAAATGGTGACCTCTAGAGTGTCCACAAGCTAAAAATGTGATTTTTCGTACAATTAGAGGCCATAATCCATGAAGTTACAGTTCGATACATGCCAATATTGAAAGGAACCAAGATCTTTTGGAGATAAACCAATATTTCAAGTTTCATCAAAATGGGATAAAAATTGTGACCTGTAGAGTGTCCACAAACAAATTGTGGATGGACGGACAGTGTGAAAAGACATATAGATGTCCAAAATCTAACAAATTGCTATAATTACAACCAACCTTCATTGGCTCTTTAATAGAATTGAAATACGGCAAGCACACGTGGAAGATATGTTTAAAAGAAGATTTTCCTCCTGTGGTAACCGCAATTCCATTGTCAGATATGCCATTTCTTTTACATTCTAATTGTATTTGATAACCCGCCCTTTCCAAAATAGCATTTGATATACAGCCTATGGAAAGATCAAGATTCTTCCTTGTAGAGTTTACAATAACATCAACCTGAAAAATTTAACAATACCAAAACATTGAAGCAATGCAAGGGTTATCTGAAGTATGTAGAGCATTTCATTAAAGATAAATAATCAGGGGCTAGTGAGAGTAAACAAGCATCAAAGTAAACAATACAAGTGCATTATAAAATATTTCATACTGTGTTTACAAGCTTTACGTGTCAAAAATCTACATTGATACGTTCTTTGTTTATGCTGTCATTACGATACCAAATATTATTTTCAATGGGGCTCTTCCATCCCTCTCGATCAAATCTACCATATTCCAAATTTTTAACGGATCAAATTGCTTATTACTCTGCTTAATCAGAGCAGAAAATGTGCATAATCAAACTTAGTCAAAGATTTGATGTTTTCAAACTAGGGGGTTGGGTGGTTGAATGAGCTTTAGATCATAAGGTTAGTCATTGAGCAAAGTGGCATGGTTCTGGGTTTTCTCTGGGTCTTCTGGTTACCTCTAACAATAAAATAGTCCAAAAATTATCTACATTGTGTCACGTGGACGTTAAACCCCATTGCTTTCTCTCTGTAATGAAACTATATAGAAGTTTTATTCCTTAAACTAAACTAGAATCAAAGTTATTGCACAAAAGCATCAAGAAATAAAATTTCTAATCTCTGCTTTGCTTATGCATCGAATTCAGCCTAAACAATCACTTAATGAACAACTACACCAAGTTTCAACATTCTGTTCTGTGCCCTTTTGTTCCCTCCCCCTTCTCCAAAGTTAGGTTGCCAGACAACGAAATATATGCCCACAGCAGCTAATTTCGTCCGGGCGGTCAACAAGGGCTGTCGCATATTTATTCTTTTGTAGATAATGGGTGTCATTTACAAGACAATTTCATACAGATCATAATTTTCATTGTTTGAGGGAAGTTTCTACAATTTGAAACTAGAGCCTCTTAACTCTCGGGGATCACGGTGGGTAAGGGGGAAAGAAGATGGCTCGCTAACCTGGAGGTCAGGTGTTCGATCCCTGCATTGGTCGAGAAAGTTCATCCAGTTTTTCAGGCATGGTTCCACCTTGTCAGTGATGCAGGTCGTTTGGATGGGATGAAAAACCGAGGTCCCGTGTACACATTGGTGTGCATGTAAAAGATCCCTTGACAGTTGGAATTCGATATAATAGTAGGCCATAGTGTCTCTGTCCGGGCAAAATTTCCCTCATAGCACACTGTATGGCGTATGCCCGTCTTCATTAGCCCAGTTCGGAGCAGAACAGTAGGATGTTAAACCCTATTTCATTTCATTTCTTTCTTAACAGAAATTGCTGAAATTCGACAGGCTTTTTCGTTTTACTAATTCAAATAATGCATATAATTTTCAGACAAATCGAAAGATAACTTTTGTTGTTAATCAAGCCTGCACAATAAGGTCCACGAAGTGAAACAAGGGTCATAACTCTAGAAGTAATCAACAGAAATAGCTGAAATTCAATTTTCTTCAGCGTTTCACTAATCTATATTATGTATATAAATCTGATACAGATCGGATGATAACTGTTGTTGTTAGAGCTTTGACAAGGTGCAACCAGCAGCTGCTAGGCAAGATACGCCCACATTTTGCAAGAGATGGATAGAGAACAAGCTAAAAATAAAAAAGATTTTTTGTACAATCAGGGACTATAGTCCAGATAGTTATGCTCTGAAATGTGCAAATATCAAAAGGGACTGAGATCTTTGGGATATAAAGATATGTTTTAAGTTCCATCAAAATTGGATAAAAATTGTGACCTCTAGAGGGTCCACAACCTTCGTATTACATACTTTTACACAATTTGCATACAAAGAGCGGCCATTTTGTCGGGCAGTTTGATTTCGATTTTCCCGAAATTCAAATTAAATGGTGGAATGGTCATATATTTACACGGTTTTTAAAATTGGAAAAAAGACCTGTGACCTCTAGAGAATCCACAAGCTAAAAATGCGATTTTTTTAACAATCAGGGGCCACAATCCAGGAAGTTACGTTTGGATATGCGCGATTATCAAAAGGAACCAAGATCTTAGTGTGCAACGGTGATATATTCGAGACATAATAAGCGGAAATTGTTGAAAATCAATAGGATTCTTTGTTTCACTGATTTAAGTGACACATAACAGTTCATACTGAACGGACAATAACTTTCATCGTTGGAGCTCTCACAAAGGTTCAACAAAGAGAAACAAGGGACATAACTCCAAAAGAAATTATGGAAATTAAGTAGGCTTCTTCATCTCACTGATGTAAACAACATATATTAATTTCAAAACAATCACATGATAAATGTAGTCTGCTGTAGAGCGTTCACAAGAAATTGTGGATGACAGACGGAAGGGACATAAGTATGGACGTGAGGACGGCAATATCTAACCACAATTCCATGTGGCCATATAAAAACCTCGCACCATACTTTTATATCAATTCAAAACCGAAAATGCCTAAAAGTAAACATTTGATGTGTTCTTGTACAACCTTTACCAGACCAAACAAAATAACTTGACTTGAACAAATCTGACTTGAACTAATACTCTCTCATAGAATACAAATGGTCAGTTTCCATGTTCCATTGGTTGTAACTTACCGCTTGTTGTTCAATGCTACCAGGTACTATTTCGATGTAATGACCTACAAAAGAAATGTAAAGATAGGTTGCCAGGCAACGAAACATACGCCCACAGCAGCTAAGTCATCTGAACAGTCAACAAGAGTTGTCACATATTTTCCACAAGATTTTTCAAAGTGATCAAGAGCCATAACTCTGGTAGTAATTATTGGAAATCATTGAAAATCAATAGGCTTCTTTATCTCATGACCTTACACACTATGTATAAATTTTAAGTCAATCGGATATTTACTTTAGCCTCTAGAGCGTCCACAAGATTTTCAAAGTGATCAAGGGCCATAACTCTGGCAGTAATTATTTGAAATCAATGAAAATCAATAGACTTCTTAATCACATTACCTTAAAGGAGCTAAATCGCTAATATTTTGGACCTAGAAATTGACCCAGATGGGTCGCAACGCATATAATAATGTAATCTGATTGTATATAAAAACTGATTTACATTCAATTGTTTCTGTTTTGACTCTAATTTCAAATCAGTTATGTCAGCGAAATACGGCATGAGCCTCAACTGACTGTCAATTTTTAGCGTCTCGTTATTCCAGTCTATTGTGCATGCTCTCCAGATAAGATATGGCGTCACCGCTTGACATGGGTTGTGGAATATGTCTAGCCTCGTTCTTCCTGGTCACTTGTTACAAATGACGCTGAAACGCACTATGGTACACGATTCGTGTACCAAAGGTAAAATCTTAAATATTGGATATCAGAAGCCTACCTTTTCCCGGTAAGATGACAACATCAATGTTGATTTGAAATTGACAAATAATTCGTGTTTTCAATGAGTAAGACTTTGGATGATATTGAGTTAGAGACTTAGCTACTTTAAACATTGTGTATAAATCTAAAGTAAATCGGCTTGTGGATGCCAGAAGGACGGACGTGAGCGACAACATTATACGACCACATTTCAATGTGGGCATATAAAAACTAAAGCGAAACAAAGAGAGAGATTTCGATTTGACAGTTTTTACGTATTTTAGAAACAGGTTTCGAAGTCTTTTCGACGTTCCAACGTAAATGGATGGTGCTAAGACCACCTTAAGATAAGTTTTAAATGTTTCTATATTTAATTAGAAATGTTTCGCTTTAGTTTTTATATTTTACGCTGACATTTTATTGCTTTAAATCTTCCTAGTGCAAAAACAGAAAATTTGACCTTTTGATCTCCATGGTCACAAAGAACAAAGGTGAATTTAGCAAGTTTACATATTTATTGAAAGTGATTACTTTTTATCATTTTCAGCATGTTTTCACGACTGACTATGATTTTCAGGATTGGAGTACTAGTATATTTATTATGATTCATCATCCAACTCAATATAAATGGTATAAAGATAGGTTGTCAGGCAACAAAACATCTGTGTACAGCTGTGTCGTTCGAGCAGTCAGTCTAAAAAAAAATGATTACTCTGCCCCTTGAGAGGTTTTCAAAATGATCATGGGCAATAACTCTGAAAATACTTAATGTAAATGACTAAAATTACATAAGATAGGTTGCCAGGCAACGAAACATACGCCCACAGCAGCTAAATCGTCCGGGCAGTCAACAAGAGTTGTCGCATATTCTTACTTTTTTCGGTAATGAAACATTTATAATACACTAAAATCTGATTAAGGGCAACAACTCATGAAGTAATTATCAGAAAACCATTAGAATTTGTTTAATTTTTATAAAGTTCTGCCCCATGTATACAAAACTTTTAATATCATGGATTTGTTCAAGTCATAAAAATTCATTGAAAATCAATATACTTGTTCGTCTCAAGATCTTAAACTCTGTGTATCAATCTGAAGTCAATCGGATGATAACTTTAGCCTTTAGAGCAGAAATCGTTGAAAATCAAGGGCCATAACTCTGGCAGTAATTATCGGAAATCGCTGAAAACCAATAGGCTTCTTCGTCTCATGACCTTAAACACTGTGTATAAATTTAAAGTCAATCGAATATTAACTTTAGCCTCTAGAGTGTCCACAAGATTTTTCAAAGTGATCAAGGGCCATAACTCTGGCACTAATTATTGGAAATCGCTGAAAATCAATAGACTTCTTCGTCTCATGACCTTAAACACTGTATATAAATTTAAGGTCAATCGGATATTAACTTTGGCCTCTAGAGCGTCAACAAGCAATTGTGGACGCCGGACCGCCGGACGGACCGACTAAGGCGACGACAATATACGACCACATTTCAATGTGGGCGTATAAAAACTGCCTTGGAAAACCAATTAGATGATAACTTCAGTCTCTTTTTTGCATCCACAAGAAATTGTTGACGATTGACAGATGGATGGACAGACGGGTGACAACAATACGCACATGACCACATTTAATAGAAGACAAGGATAAAAGGCAACAACTACATGGAATACATGATTTTACCTTCTGCATTAAAATCCATTGAGTCTTGTCCAAGAAACTTCTGTATTTCACATTTTACAACAGATAATGAATTCTCTTTAGGAATCAGCACTGTCTTCTCTAGATGTTTAAACGGCCCATCTCCATCAGCTAACTTCTTCAAAACATATGACATCATATTATTTGGATCTTTCAGATAATAATCCCACAACAATATCACTGATTTATATCTATGCCCTTTCATTAAACTGTTGAATTCACTGTCCAACTTACTTAGTTTCTTCTTCATTTCTTGAGAATTCATGATAAAAGCAAGACAAGGTTTACCCTTTTCTGTGAGAATTTTCAAAACATTACCAACCATATTTCCGCTTTGATCCTTAAACTTTTCAAATAATGTTACATCTGTTAAATACAAAAGTACAAACAAAATCTGTCAGCTATTTGAACTAAAAATAGATGTATGCAAATTCTATATCTAAGATTAAGCCAATGATAAGGAAAGGGAAATTACAGTTAAAAGTGACCCTAAATCAAAATATACCATACAAGCCAGCAAAAAAATACAGATCTTTAACTTGTCTTTTAATTAAATTTTGAGTCAAGTAATACAATTTATTTTCATTGAGAACCTCAATAAACAAATTCAGTCATATGAATTTTAGTACAGTTATAGTTTACCAACAACTATACATCTATATTCAATTAATTTTTGGGGGGAGGGTGGCTAAGTGGCTAAGATGCTGGCTCGCTAGCCTGGAGGTCGGGTGTTTGATCCCTGCATTGGCCAAGAAAGTTCATCCAAATTTTCCGGCGTGGTTCCCCCTTGTTAGTGATGCAGGACGGAGGGCCTAACAAGGACAGCTGTCTAGTCGTTCGGATGGGACACAAAACAAACCGAGGTCCCGTGTACACATTGGGGTGCACGTAAAAGATCCCTTGACAGTTAGAATTCGATATAAGAGAAGGCCGTAGAGTCGCTGTCCAAGCAAAACTTCCCTCATAGCACACTGTATGGCATATGCCCATCTCCATTAGCCCAGTTTGGAGCAGACGGTAGGACGTTAAACCCCATTTCATTTCATTTCATTTTAATTACTTTTTATTCACTATGTTACTTTTTCCATGCACTGCACAATAATAATATCAATTTGAATATGGGGGTTAATTTCTTTGTAGTCCTACAGAAGTTACGAATTCTGATATCGTACTGTAAATTAATTATTTGCATCAGAAAACACATAATAAAAATCTATGCACTCACCATTGTCAAAAAGCTGAACATCATAGTTTGGCCTATTGCATAACACCAAAATGACTTCATTGGCATCGTATGGTCTTATTGTTTCTCCAACTAAAAACTTTATTAGGTTTCCGTTTTTACCATGGTATTTTGCAAATATCACATCTTTTGTACCACTTGCAGCTGGTTTTAAATCGAATGTGTAGTCAAAACAAAGATCCAGTTCTGATTTTCTATTCAAACTTGACTGGCAAATATACAAGCAATCGGAGGGAGACGTCAATGTTACTGAAAAGCTGCAGCTTCTATTTCGATGGTTTACGCTAGTCGAAGTCGATCTAGTGGTCTGTAACCTCTTTGATCCTCCATGTTTGGGTTTTTCAACATCATAATCTCCACCTTCCTTGTGGTCACTAGTCGAAGTTGATCTAGTGGTCTGTGACCTCTTTGATTCTCCATGTTTGGGGTTTTCAACATCATAATCTTCACCTTCCTTGTGGTCACTAGTCGTAGTTGATTTAGTGGTTTGTGACCTCTTTGATTCTCCATGTTTGGGGTTTTCAACATCATAATCTTCACCTTCCTTGTGGTCACTAGTCGTAGTTGATCTAGTGGTCTGTGACCTCTTTGATTCTCCATGTTTGGGGTTTTCAACATCATAATCTTCACCTTCCTTGTGGTCACTAGTCGTAGTTGATTTAGTGGTCTGTGACCTCTTTGATTCTCCATGTTTGGGGTTTTCAACATCATAATCTTCACCTTCCTTGTGGTCACTAGTCGTAGTTGATTTAGTGGTTTGTGACCTCTTTGATCCTCCATGTTTGCGGTTTTCAACATCATAATCTTCACCTTCCTTGTGTTTCAGAGAAGTAGGTTTCCTATCTACATTATTGATTACCTCGAAATCTTTCAAAGCAATCCATTCTTGTATCTTTGCAAACAAATTTTTAACTTCATTATGACAACCTCCAATTTTTAAGATGTCATCCTCAATCTTGGTCACTACATTGACATCTCCAAGAAATAAATTATCTGCTCTAATCAATGTTACCACTTGTTTATACTCTGAAAGGTTAAAAGATTGAAATTTGAATATATCGAAACTTTCTCTTTCAATCATCGTCAAGATAGCCAATTTCTCTCCAACCATAGAAAGGCAGTGCTCCTTCAATATAATTACTACTTTATCTAGAAGATTTAGCTCTTTCAGATAGAATTCAATTTTTGTTTTGTATGCAAGACCTTTGCACTGTACATTAACTTTAATTACTGTCATGTGCTTTGAAACAAAGGCAATGAAATCATCTTCTGCTTGTTTACGATCCTCTTTTGGTCCAACTAACAATGTTTTATCACCTATTCCAATTATCGATTTGTTTATCTGAGGTAAAAGTTCAGCTTTCTTTTCAAAAAATGAAAAATATTCTGGTTCTAGTTTTAACTGACCATCTACATTTGAATTACACTCATCTACATCTGTCTCCAAGCATTGTGTCTTTTGTAATGTGTTTATAGAAGATTTACCAGTCTCCACAATAACCTGCGTCAAAGGGGAAATGTAACCAGAAGAATCATGACCATTATGAGATATAGTGCTAAATTCAGAAGAACTTTTACTATCAACAACATGCTCAGTTTTTCCGGCATCACATGAAGTATAAGATTTTCTACCGCTAGTGATCCCCTGCGTCTGAGGGTCTGTGGAATCAGAAATTTTACTGCACTGGGATATAGTGCTTAAGTTGCAAGAATTACTAACATCAAGGTCAGTTCCTTTGCTTTGAGGCTCTTTCAAACTAGAACATTTGAGACCAAGCTCTGCAGAATTACCAACTGTATTTTCTAATACACGATCACGTTCTGTTATTGCTTGGGTGTCACTAGGGGAATCTGTGTTTCCTCTTGTTTCTTTATCACTGAAATGGTAAACCAAAGCTAATGACCAATTTATAAGATGCTCACTTGTGTACATGATCATACTGTAGTCAGAGTCACCAGCCAATCGGGTGAAATAATACCCCTTTTCTTTCAGAAATTTGAGTGTGGAATCAGACACAAAACAGATTTGGTGACATTCGGCAAATTCGTTGAAAATATCAATAACTTTTTTTATTTCAGTATCAAATAATAATCTACAAGCTCTCAAGATCACTCTACCATTAAATGTGGGTGGCAATTCGAGGTGACAAAATAACTTTTTTAGTTTGGTTTGGAATTCTTCCTTCTCTTTAACCGATCCTAATATATGCTGAAAAATTGTTGTAGTCATCTTCACTTCTTTGCCTATTAACAATGTCACTTCTCCTGAAAATGAAACCGGATGATATTTAATATCAAGGACACAATATCTATCTTTATTTTGCTCACTGAATGACCTTTTTTTCTCTTCTAGTTCTTTTTCTGTTATCATTTTTAAAGAATTGGTACTTTGTATTTTTCCTATTACTTGTGCTGCTAATAATTTAATTGAATCTATCATATCTGGAGTTGTAGTGAATATCAGACTGTCTTGCTCCGTAGTATATTTCAAATCTTTGTAGTAGATCTTTAACCGTTCATCAAAAGATTTTAACATTTCAGTTTGTTTCTGTGCCATCGCTTTTGGTAAAGAAGAACTTTTACTTTGAGTTCTAATTTTCACACATTCTTTAAAAATCTGTCTAATTTTTATCGAGAATTTTTCAACATCCACCCCTGCAGGTAACATATCATCTACATGAACCAAAATCTTGTTAGGTGAATTTTGTTCTTCAATATGTGAGTGTACTTTCAATAGCTCACTCTCAATATTTGATTTCAGGAAATCATCAAGCTGCTTAATATTCAAGTCTAAATACATAGTAGATAAAAATTCCCCTGCTGATGTATGGTAATTTATGACAAGAGACCATTTGCTTTTTTCTCCAGCTTCATCAAATTCAGGACCTTTTCGTTGTGGTAAGTGTTGATGAATTCCTGGTATTGCAGATTTATGATCGCTGCACCCTTCAGTATTGGTTGCCATTGGTTTATTTGATATTATTCAGCTTTGGTATATCTGGTGATAAAAAATACAAAGTTAAGTTTTCAGGTATATATTTATGCCCACCATCAGTTAAGTCATCTGTTTAACTGTTTTCATTCTAACCACCCGAATGATTACCAAGCCATTATTAAAACAAGCCAACAGTGAGGCAAAATCCCAAAATAAATAGATGACACATTTCAATTTTGCACATTTATTATTTTAAAAAGTATCAAGCAATCAAACTGATTATTAACTATATATATATATATATATATATATATATATATATATATATATATATACACACTATGTTTCATCACTCTCTATCAGATAGAATCAAAGTTATCTTGTCCTAAACCATTGACCAATGAAATTGCTTAGCTCAGCTTAACTTTAGCTCGAAATGTTAATCATTGAACTCAGTCAAGACATTCACCTCATGGACATCTACATCAAGTCTAAAAATTCGACCTCAATTAAATCCAGAGTTGTTCTGTTCCAAAGTCTTGACCGATCAAATTGCTTATCTCTCCTCAGCCTAAGCAGAAAAGTCTCATCATCTAACTTAGTCAAGGTAATGACATAATGAATCTATACTCATAGTTTCATCACTCTCACTTATTAATTATAACCAAAGTTATTGTGCCCCAAAGCATCAACCAATCAGATGGCTGATCTCTGCTTACCATAAGCAGACAATGTTTATCATCGAACTAGATCAAGGCATTCACCTAATGAATGCCTACACCAAGTTTGAACATTCTACCTAAATAAGAAAGAGAGTTACTGTGTTCCAAAGTCTCGGCCAATCAAATTGCTTATCGCTCTGCTTACCCTGAGCAGAAAATGCTCATTATCGAACTTAGTCAAGGTATTGATGTAATAAAACTATACACCAAATTTCATCACTCCCACTTAATTAGAACTAACGTTATTGTGTCCCAAAGCATCAACCAATCAATTTGCTTATATCTGCTTACCCTACGCAGAAAAAGCTCATCTTCGAACATCATCAAGACATTGACCTAATAAACACCTACACCAAGTTTGAACATTCTACCTCAAGGAGAGTTATTGTGTTCCAAAGTCTCTGCCAATCAAGTTACTTATCGCTCTGCTTACCCTGAGCAGAAAATGCTCATTTTCAAACTTAGTCAAGGTATTGATGTAATGAAACTATACATCAAGTTTCATCACTCTCACTTAATTAGAACTAAAGTTATCGTGTCCCAAAGAATTAACCAATCAAATTGCTTATCTCTGCTTACCCTAAGCAGAAAACGCTCATCTTCGAACTCCATCAAGGCATTGACCTAATAAATACTTACACCAAGTTTTAACATTCTAGCTCAATTAGAAGGAGAGTTATTGTGTCCCAAAAAGTGTGACGGACAGACGGACAAACCCATTTTAAAAGTCCACAGCGGTTGCCATACAAGATACGCCCACATTTTGCAAGAGATGGATGGAGAACAAGCTAAAACAAAGTGATTTTTCATATAATCCGGAGCCATAATCCAGTAAGTTATAGTCTGAAATGTGCAAATATCTAGAGGGTATTATATACTTTTATGTACAAGGAGTGGCCATTTTGTCAGGCAGTTTCATTTGATTTTCCTGAAATTCGAACCCAACCTTCATTATAGTGTAACAGTTATATATCTGTCGTCTTTTAAAATCGGATAAAAATTATGACATCTAGAAGTTCCATAAGCTAAAAATCTGATTTTTCGTACAATCAGAGGCCATAATCCAGGAAGTTATGGTCTGATATGCATGAATGTCGAAAGGAACCAAGATCTCCGGGATATTAACATACATTTTAAATTTCATCAAAATAGGATAAAAATTGTGACCTGTAACGGGTCCACAACCTTGGTATTACATACTTTTACACTATTTGCGTTCAAGTAACACCGTTCGACTTTCAGGGAGTTCTTTAAGTATCAGAAATGAATACAGATTCTTGGAATGGATCTTCAACACTTTATTTCAGCAGCAAATAATTAACAGCAACAATTTAACAACTTATAATTTCCTATATATATCGGCCCTCCAAATAGTATGTTCCCTAAGCTGGTCTCTCCAACTAATAATCTCATCTAACATACATTTGTCTATTTATACAAATCAGTTACTTAGAAAGTGTTGACATAAACATATAATTATTGAAGGATTAAGACTTAAGGCATTTAAAACAATAGTTAGATGAGACTTAACAGATCAACCACTTTAGTTGCCAGTCTGTCATAATTTGACTGACAGGTTAATTTCTGTATGACTAACCAAGCATTAATGAAAATTAAAATATATACTTGAAATTTAAAACAGAATTGACAAATAATAAAATAACAAAACAACATATGACCTAGACATCGGTCATATATCCCCCTTACTTCAAACAAAAACATGACCCCATGTTTTAAGCATTTAATAAAATCAAAAATCCTTATTTTTCGATTAATCAAAGTAACATAATCTATCCCTTTTTTCATGATAATAATTTCATAAAATAATGTTCTTTCAAATTGTACTGGTTAACTTTTTCATTTGGTAAACATAATTTGGGTCCTTGTATTCCATTTGACTTTGCATTTATGTATTGCTGAGCACAATAATCTAGTTCCTCCTCCAGAACCCAAGAATTCTTCCACTGAATGAGATATTCTTGTTTTGTGTTCTTAACTCTTTGTCTAAGCACTTTGTCGGACACTTGTACAGGTGGATTTGTTGAACAAATTCCTACATATCGATGGTCTTGACTGCTGATACTTTTGGCACTAGAACTTGAAACATCTTTCATCGCTGCCTCACTGTCCAAATTTATTTGACAACCTTTATCATGGCTATTGGCAGGATGACACATTGTTTCTCTTGTCACCATTAACACAGGGTTATTCCCAACAGCCACATCTTTAGTATCAGGAACATTTTGGACACCCACATCCTTTTTACTGGAGACCACAGAAATCTGTTCTTTTTGGGCATCCTTCCGAGCAAAAAATTCTAGCTATCGCTGTCTATCCC